TACTCATATTTTGATTTGGCAATTCTTGATGATTTCCTACGCTTTGCAAGATCTTCATTTTTTTCTTTTTTACATACAGACAGATTGGTGTATTTGAGAGGCCCATACGTTAAAGCAATCATGTATGCCATTCTAAGATTTTGTTTTTTTATGTGATTTTGTTTTTATGTAACAAGATAAAGCACACTGTGTGTTAGGTAATAAAAGTTTAGCACTACAGTCAATTAAACCGTACCAGAAGGACCATTAAATACAATTTGCAAACATAAAGTATATTTCTATCGTCTATAAGTCTATAAAAACTCATTGGTGTTATTGCTTAAGCGTCTGAAAAGAATAAAAAACTGTTTAGCATCTTTATAGCATACAGTTTACTGCACACACTTTTTACACAAAAAAAGAAGAAAAGATCCACATGAAAACAAAAACCTACTGGTGCATATGCTGAATTGAATTGAGGAGCAGTAATGCACGTTGTGCACGTGTTATAAAAAGTTGTATACGAAATTGTAGAATTGTTAACAAGTTGAATTGATGTCGTCATAGTATCATTCAATTATGCACTTTTACCAACATCCGGGTTATTAAGTTACCAATTCAAAATTGAATGGCAGGTGCTTATGAGAAATAATGTAAAGTGCTTCATATTTTAGCACCGGTTTAATTGGAATTCAATTATCAAATAACTAGCAAGTCTTTATGAAAACGTGACAAAAGGGAGTTAGACTGAAACACTGTTTAAATTCAATCAAATATACTAGATAAAGAATAGATTGAGCTATATCTGTCTTCGGTCTTTTTCTGAATTATTTGAAAATGATATAATAAGATACAATAATAAAAAATAATTTGTACATTTTTTGTTACAGTGTGGTTAACTTGGGATTACGTGGACGGTTGCTAAAAGTTTTGTTTAGAATTGCCTATGCTGATACTAATGATTTAAAAAAATCAAGACGACATATTCTACTAGTTTCGATTTTAATACGTGTTCATTAGAAATGAAAATCATATGTAGATGGTAAGAATTACTAAAGTGATATCAGTATATCAGGTATAAAGCTGTAACTTCTCTATCCTTATATTTTATCAACAGACTTAATCAAACTCTGAGTCTGCAGCTTTCACCTTTTTAGATCTGTTTTCATTGATCTGGGCGATCTGAATTTTCAAGACGTTTTATATTACATCGAAATATTATATGTGACACATGTCTTGTCAGACATTACAAGTATAATGCTTTAGCCTTTGTAACGCTAAACCTTTAATACTTTTAAACCTTATTTCTTCATGCTTTTTCTACATATTAAACAAATGTTCAAAATATTCAGAAACGAGAAATATAATAAAAATGAAAAGTTTAAGAAATGCATAATTACTACAAGTCTTGCAAAGTTTAGTATTAAATGTGATTGAACCAGTTACCAGGCTTGTTTGAACACAAACTAAATATATTTTAGGAAAAGTCAGTTACTTCTTTTAATTTCACTCTAGTTGCGACAGACATTAGAAAATTTCTCGTGTCATAAAAGAGCACGAATGCGACCTTAAACTTGTTTTGTTGAAAAATAAAAATATCTCAAAAAAATCTATGGGAACTGTTTATCTCCGGAAGTACAGATTTTTTTTGTAAACATTTATCAAAACAGCATTTGTCTACTTACCAGTCAAAACATCGTAATTACTGTCTAAATGCATTATGTCAAAATAAAAGTGCTAAATTGCACAGTATGCACTTTTTCATCAGCGCCATTCTCTGTCAGAACATCATGTTGTTGTTGAAAAGAAGACTACAATATTTTCTTCAAATGTGTAAATCATTGAAATAAATATGTTTCATAACATCTTACATTTCAATTACTTTATAACATTTAACAAGAATGTTATGGAACCGCGAATCAAAGAGACATCATGATAAATGCTCGGCATCTGTCTCCGATATTGGACAATGTGTCATCCCTTTGGCAAAATTATTACACTCATATAAGAAATATATAAATAAACATACATTTCAACTTCCTTCTTACAAATATTTTATAGATGCATACAAATGAAATACAAATGAAAATACAAAATATGGAAAAAGTCATACTCATGTTTCATTTTTAAACCATTCCTACAATTGTAACAATTTGTTATACTTTCAGGGTAACATTCTTTTTTTACATTTGAATTCAAGTATCCATCCGAGGAATAATGCAAAAAACTTGCTAAAATGAAATAAGACGTAATGATATGAACAGTTCTTAAAATACTGTCAAACATATATAACGTCAAGAGGAATTGTTAACACTGACGTTATACATTTATTAAAATGTAGGAAGATTTAGAATAGTATCTTCAGACTTTAGACTATACGCAATACATCTTTAAGACCTTTGAGTTTCCTCAGCAAACGAAAGTAAGCTATAAAACATCGTATGCGTCGTTGCATTAAAAAGTCAAATCAAGAATGATGTTGTAAGTCGTATAGCATTTCATGACATTTGTTGTGATGTTTTTGTAATATATTTTCCTTGAAATGTCAGGACAGACAGGTGTAATACCAACCAAATCTTTATTCTTCTATGGGAGACTTATTTTTATTACATATATCAATGACAAGTTGGCAGAAAGCTCAGTCATTAAAAAAGTGCACGGACAATAAAATATGTCATTGAAATAACAACAAACATTCTGCTGATTTAAGCAAGAATATGCTCATACATTAGCTCAATGCAATAAAATATCTTATCCGAAGATAAACAATATCAATGTTGTTTTGAGTGTAAACCATCCGTTTTGAAAATTGCGGATGTGATGTTTATATTATGTCCTAATACATGTATTAAGATCTCTTTTTTTTGTGCAAGTTTCCTTTTCTTGTCTAAGTTCGCTATTCACATTATTATTTGGTGCTATTTATTTGTTTCATTGCACCAATGCTGTTTCAATGAAAGTCCGTTCTGGGCCATAGCTTGTATTTTACGTGCAGGATATCGTCGATTCTTTATGTTCTGATCGGAACTGTATTTTCTAACATTGACGAACAAAGATTATACCAACTAAGCTATTTCATAACCTTTAGAGAGCTGTGTTCTTTGAATCTTGCTCTTGCATCCCCAATGTGACTACAGCACTTACATAAGAAAGATTGCAAATATCCGAGTTCATATCAGAAACGCTACAATCTCGCTGATAACCAAAGATAACTTATTATGACCCTGCTGATATTTATAAATATTTAAAGCTGTTTTGTAATATTTGTTTAACAGATGTTTATCAACTGATTTTCAACGGACCAAAATAAATTTGATAATTGAAATATGACGAGTGAAAGAATTCCATGATTACTTTGGACGGTTTCTGTTTTTTTTTGCATAACGTGGTGTATATATAAATTATTGGATTAGATATGTAGACCTACCCATATTTGCAGGTGATCAACTTGCTATAATTATCAACACATTGGATAATTCATGATCAAGACATGGTAAAAAATTAATGTACTGAATGTATTTTTTTCTTTAGCCATATGTACAAACCATATGTATCTAAGGTTTTAATAGATATAAGCAACTTCCCTCATCAATAAACAACAGTAATATCAGCAGATTGTTAAGACGTTTGAAAATATTATAATATTTGCATCTTTAGAATCAACTCAAATAATTGAGAGTGTAGTAAGAAATACCACAACAGCTGGCAAATGCACCATAAATTTAGACTTATGGCTATAACAAACAACCCTATAAATGGAATCAACCCTATTTTAGTCAGCCGGCTTAAATAAGTAGTTACAGACAATGTACAACAAACTTCCATAGTTATGGAATATACAATATGACTTATTCTATGAGAAACAAACATCAAGAGGAACAAGTAATAAGACTTCCATCTTCAACAAACATCCCTAGTTAGCTGTGGGAAATTTAATGTACATGGCGACAAAATGGGATTTTTATATATATTCTGTTGTAAGAAATAATGAATAAAAAAAAATAATTCGTAAAATTATCATTCTAGAATTATTTCATTATTTCGGCGATAAGTTAAATTATACTTTCAAAGAATTTAATAACAAAACTAGATATGATTTTAACACTCATGTAATTTCAATCAGAAATAAAGCTGCGAATCAAATCTCTTGGGATTATTTATAATGAAATTTTATGCCATATAGTGTGATAATGCGCTGATAGTGTTATCATGATACATACGTAACATTATCATGCGTGTAGATAAAATATAGATATCTTATTACAGAATCACGCTATGCTCTTTCCGTGTATTTCTTTAAAATAAAAACATATTACGTATCTAGAACAACATTTATTTAAAGAAAGAGGTATGTGCTGGTTCAAATGTACAAAACGCTTTGTAGCTTTGTAATGATTTTTACGTACTTCATTGTTTACTTCTGCCCGCAAACTTATTTTTCAATTATCCTAAAATATACTAAATAATATTTTTTTTATTCAAAACGAAAGTTACTCAACTACTTAAAGTAAACTGTAAATATACTACAATAATTATTATTTGAATTAGAAAAAAGACACTTCGAAAATGCAGGCATGAAAAATGTAGGGTAGTAAATTGCCCTAAAGGCAAATCGCGCATACACGAAAGCATTGCCTAGCGGATAAAACCCTACTTATAATATAATATTTTGTTCTAACCACTTTATTTACGGACATAATGTATGTGTGTTAAAAACAGAGGTATTCTATGTTACAAATCTTTTCAAAATTGAATTAAGTATTATGAGAAAAACGAAGACTTCAATAAGCACAAGATTGCTTCCAGTCTAATCCTTTTTGTATTGATTGCAAATGTCATGCATGTAAATATGTTCTTATGTATGTTAAAACCAAAATTATGGAAACAATGTTATTTAATTGTTAGCTGGTTTTTCTTTTAAATATATTTCATAAGATAAAGCTTCATACCATTAAAAGGTATTCTTGACACCCCAATGTACGTTATAAAAAGGAAGTATTACATTTACTCGAATTACTCACTCGAATTGTGGACAATTATTGAAGTCTGCACAATCTCTCGGATGATTTGTATAGATGGGCTTCTTGTAAGTCTGTGTGACCTTGACCGGCCTCGATATCACCTTCTCCGCCGTGCAAACATGGCGTCTGTAAATATATAAGTTATCTGAATATTAGATAATAGTTAAAAGGAGAAGGCTTTTCTCTGTCATTGATCAAATGTCACACAAGTGATATGTATAATGGGCGTATATCTTATACACACTGTCTTTCCTCTACAACTGATCATGAATTTAGTTGCCAATTCTAAATATTGATACAAAACATTCTTAAAGTATGTCAAATTATCCCATGGAAAATAACTTTTATTCCTTTTGCCATGGCCAAGAAATATATCATTGAAAAAACTTGTCAAAAACCTGAATAAATCTTACGCTTATACAGCAAATAGGTAAAATACTGAATAACAGAATTTGAAATATATTTCTGATAACGTCTTGTTTTTTATACATTCAAAACGTATGTATCATTTTTTTAAAAAACATTTTTGAAAAATTTCTGTGTCTTGAATGGTTAAAATTGTGTTGGAGGGAAACTGATATATGTGTTTATAATTTCGTTTAATTATACTTGTTCTACATCCTTAATCACAACATACATGATATTTAATAACAAACAGACTGTGCACTGGTGTGAATTATCATATGAATGTCAATAGTCAAAGTTGTCTTGACACACATATGTATATAACCATTAATAACGATAGGGAAATATAGAAGAGTTTTTTCTTCAAAATTACCATTTAAAACTAAGAATATTGTTCATATACAAAGAAATACTGTTTCAAGATGGTAATTAAGAAAATATTTCCGCATGATCCGGATACACATTGCAAAAACATTTATTATGCTATTGTTTTATTTCTATTAGATTATCTTAAAAAAACTGTGATTACTTATAATAAGTGAAACCACTTAAACCACTTATAAAAGTACTCAGGACCTGATGAGTATGACTTGTGTGCAATTTTTATAAAAACCAAAAGTACGTCATTACATATGAGCAATTTAAAAGAATAAATCTGTCAGCTATCTCTTAAACATGTTACGCTGATTTTATAATTCAATCTATGTATGGTTTGACAAAATGTAGGTACAATGTAAATTACATGATACCAAGAATGAGTAAGTCCACTTAAATTTCAAAGTCATTGACAAAACAAAACAAATTCAAAAAGACACTATTTTTGACTCTGTTCATAAAGATAATTATAAATATCAAATCAATATAGATCTACATCTATCTATCATCCTTTGCAATTTCAAAAAGTTCATTCCACATCTAGAAATAGATAAGTCATTTTTGTTCAATACTGAAATCAGAAATCAATAACCAGCAACAACTGAAAAAATTGGCAACATCTATGTGGTGAAATTGAAAGCGTAGTTTTACGGACACCATTAGACCATCAGGAAAACAATTTTACATTGTTATTATATGTTATTAATTTAGTACAGTAGCATACACGCAAATGAAATAATATTTCTAAGTATAACTTGGCCTATTCATAGGGGAAAATGCTCTTTATAAAATTCAAATATTAATCCACAAATAAAAAAAATCTCACAACGTCTGCTCGGCAATATTTCACCCTTCATTTCAATTCGTATTTTATCTCATTTAGGCTATGGAAATGACGCTCATCTAAATTTTATCGCTCGTTTAAGTGGAAAACATTAAGATTTGCATGTAGATAAGATATCGAAAGTTTCTGGATTCGGCTGATTGTCACAGGTCATGTGTAGAATATCGGATAATTATACACTTATGTGCTTCTTGATTTCAAGTGTTTATTTCAACAAAACCATGATAAATGATTATTAAATGTAATTGTTTTTTATGTTTAATTTCAAATTTTGATGGTTTGATATCTTTTTTGATAAATTCCAGCGATGCTAAACAATACAAAGCACATTTATTCCTCGAAAGATTAGGCAAATTAACAAGCAAAGGATTCTTCTCAAACTACGTCTTCAACAAAATGATATCTTTAAAGGCACATTACGCCTCAGAAATCCATATTTTTCTAATTCTTTAGAAAAATCAAACATGTGTTTAATAATGTTTAAATAAGGATTAAGTGCATGTTAGATGAAACTGAAAACAAGTAGCGCTGAACATGCAATAATGTGTAGTAAAGGTAGCAAAATGTAAACAAAGTTATATTTTGACTTCCATACAAAATACTAATTTACTATTGTTACAGCGACTGCCAACAAAACCAAAGAAAGAAAAGATAGTTGGTATATATAGCAAAACAAAACAACAAAAAGAGTATTTTTGGTAACTGTAGCAATATACTAAAGATAAACAGTTTTTGAGAAATAAAGATAATTACAATTCAAGCTTAAGTCATCCGTGCTGTTCTACAGAAATTAGAAACTTCGACGGGAGCGATAGGTTTCGTGGATATCCGTGATGACAATCGGAACATCCTCGGTTAGGTTATTAGTCCTTATCCGAAGACTGATGGAAAGGGCCGATTTGCGATATAGAAAATGTTATTTCGAGGTAACCATTAACGGCTGTGCAGTACATTTCTAAAATAATTGATTAACACATGTTTTGAAATGGTAGATACAAGAACAACATAATAAATAGGTATTTAATTACAACATCTTATCACATAATCACATCAAAATGACAATATTCAATTAATTGTTTCAAAATGAGCAAAGAATTTAAACGAATTTACTTGCAGACATGTAGAGGCTGCAATTTACAATGTAAGAATGCAGGATGTAATTTTGGCAGCGATTATCTTCCATTAACAGAGTTGGTTACAGCAATATCAGGACTGCGGTTCTTAAAAAAAAACATGATTTTTCTAATATGTTTTATTGCCTATTAACAATACTATTTATTTACTTTCAGTACTCTTTTGTGTGTACTCCTTTATTATAGCCCCTCGAGCAAGGACACGAATGTCAGCCATTGTAAAACACTATAGACCTTAAAGCTACATTAACTATTTTGGTGTGAAAATTCAATTGTATTACTCAATTTCTTGTTTACTAATGTGATAATGTATATAGGGACTACAAAATAGTTATAAATCAGAGCGGGTGCTGTGGTGCAGTGGTAACACTGTCTGACTACAAGTCTAGGGGTTGCGAGTTCGATCCCCCGCTACTCCACTAAAATACTAACAACAATAATAAAAACGACTCTTGTAATGGCGATTTCAGTATAAAACGTAATTCACACAATTCATAGCTTTCACAATGAACGGAACTAACGGAGCACCATTCACGCACTGACAGACAGAACACTTCTCACACACTGACAGACAGGACACTACTCACACACTGACAGACAGGACACTACTCACATACTGACACACAGGCAACCACTCACACACTAACAGACAGAACACTACTCGCACACTGACAGACATGACACTTCTTACACTGACAGACAGGAACAGACAGGACACTACGCGCACACTGACAGACAGGACACTTCTCACACACTGACAGACAGGACACTAACACTGACAGAAAGAACACTTCTCACACACCCACAGACAGAAAACTACTCACACACTGACAGACAGGACACTACTCACACACTGACAGACAGAAAACTACTCACACACACCGACAGACAGTGCACTAATCATACATTGATAAACAGGACACAACTCACATACTGACAGACAGGAAATGACTCACACACTGACAGAACACTACTCACACATTGAGAGACAAGACACTACGAAAACACATACTGACAGACAGGAAACGACTCACACACTGTCAGACTGGAAACGACTCACACACTGACAGACAGGGACACTACTCACACACTGACAGACAGGACATAACTCACACACTGTCAGACAGGAAACGACTCACACACTCACAGACAGGACACTACTCATACATTGAGAGACAAGACACTACGCACACACTGACGGACATGACACTACGCACACACTGACAGACAGGACACTACTCACACACTGACAGACAGGACACTACTCACACACTGACAGACAGGACACTACGCACACACTGACAGACAGGACACTAGTCACACACTGACAGACAGGACACTACGCACACACTGTCAGACAGGGCACTGCTCACACACTGACATACAGGACACTACGCACACACTGTCAGACAGGACACTACGCACACACTGTCAGACACGACACTACTCACACACTGACAGACAGGACACTACGCACACACTGACAGACAGGACACTACTCACACACTGACAGACAGGGCACTGCTCACACACTGACGGACATGACACTACGCACACACTGACAGACAAGACACTACGCATACACTGACAGACAGGGCACTGCTCACACACTGATAGACAGGACACTACGCACACACTGACAGACAGGACACTACTCACACACTGTCAGACAGGGCACTGCTCACACACTGACAGACATGACACTACGCACACACTGACAGACAAGACACTACGCACACACTGACAGAGCACTACACACACATTGAGAGACAAGACACTACGCACACACTGTCAGACAGGAAACGACTCACACACTGACAGACAGGACACTACTCATAGACTGACAGACAGGACGTCTGACACAATATCACAGGACACACTACTCACACAATAACACAAAGGACGACAGTAGTCTAACACCTACCAACAGGACAATAGTCACACACTACACTACACGACACACTGGACGCTTCAGACACACAGTAAACGAATATCACAATAACACACACAGCATAGAACGCACACACTGTCACACACAAAACTGTACTTACACACTAACACATAGGGAGCTCCTGACAAACACTGTACACTATTCAAACACAGACATACTAATAACACACATGACACCATTCACACACTGACACATATGGCACAACTGATACACAGCATACGACTGACACACATAGCACTACATAAGAAATGACACGCACTGACACACTGGACACAATTCAAACAATAACATACAGACATCAAAAGCACACATGTGCCCACTTACATAACGTACACACTAACACATAGGGTGCTACTAGCACCCCGTCTATTATTCAAACACATACATGGACTTACACAATAACACACGAGACTACTCA